GAACCTTTTCTTTTTGCTTGTTTGTTGACAGTGGCGATCAATTTATTAACGTCTGTTTTTAGTGTTTTTGTCGGGTCAGCTCTAATCCTCTTAAACTTACTATTGTCCGATAGAATGGCGTCCAATTTTGTTTTATATTCCTGTTTGTCCATGATCACTAGAATATTAGCTTTGTCCGCACGTCACACAATGATGTCGTTATGGTTTCTGAGTTCCTTAGCAGCAGTGTATACTGTTGGTATACAGTTTCTTAAATACAGATAAATCTTTAAACAAATATTTAAAAAATTACCAAAAGGAAAAGAGAAAAATAAGCAATGGGCTGGACTTAGTGACTTTTATTTTAACTTTTTTTCAGGGTAATCTTACCCATCTTCAAGAGATCCACTTCGTATATGATAGGACTCTTGCCGTGAAGGTACAGGTGGTGGAACAGGTGTAAAACTTTCTAGAGAATAATCTGAATCATCCATACTGAAGGCTTTTTCTATTTGAGGCTTTCTTTCTGACACTTCCTTGAAGAATGGTGTGTAGAATGCAGCTTTTAAAAATAAATTAATCAGAAATACCATCTTTATTATCACTCCTAGCATACCGATACTTACAAGATATCATTATAGTGTTCATCCTGCGATTACCAATATGGATGCATTATGTATCTAAATATTTTTCCATTAGGCTCCACTTTTATTAATATGAGTACATTTTGATTCCAGCACCTTAAAATAATAAAATAATTAATTGAAAATTAATCACAAAGTTATTTTTTCCATACACACACATAAAGGTTATATTACTTAAAACAATCACTAGAGTTACATACAAATCATGTTGGCAAAATACTTTTCTTTGACATCTTGGTATTAGGAAGGTTAATCAAATCACAGTGAAGAAAATTCTGACATTTAAATAGAACACATACACTGGACTTTGACTAAGAATATTTTAACAAAGTAAGGTGTTACAGATACATAGTTTACATAACTTTCAAAACAATGCATGTACACAAATTTTTTAAACAAAGTTTACTAAATCCATTATACAAACAAATCATACGAAAATGTCAACATAAACAAATTCAAAATTGTCAAAAACAAATTAGATCTTCTAATTATCTGTCAAGGTAGCCTTAGATATATTTCAAATAGTAATAAGGCAAGTTTACAATAAGTTTTTAAATATATTTTTTTTTACAAGAATGACTAATATTAGACATATCTTCACTATAATTCCAAACATACTTTTTGTTGGCAAGTGGATATTGAGGTCATAAAATGAGCTTGTAATTTGTCAGCTACAGCATTTCCCTCTGTTATTAATTGATGTGACAGATCACTTGAGAAAAAAGCATTTGCACTGCCCGTTTCTGTAACAGCCAATATCTGAACTGGGATGTTTGGAATGTTCATTGAAAATGCACTGAAAATAAAAATGTTAATCTTGATCAACACACAAATGGGGAATGAACTGATAGAATTCTATACAAAAAAAAAAGTTTTCACGTGAGTGATGATATAAATATCTTTAACTAGCCTTTTCTAAAAAGCATCTTTATGCACTGTCAGGAAACTGAAAAACAAACTATCAAAAAAGGCAAGAGTACATAAATATTTAAGTTTTACACCAACTGATACTAAAAGTCATCTGCTAGTTAAAAAAGCTACATTAAGACTTGACATACCTGCTTAACAAGTTTCATACTTTGATCATTTAGGTTTAATTTTCTCTTAACACAAAGGTTTAAAAATCTTTGTCATTTACAATAACTTTTTTTAAAACTACTTATAATTTATAATCTTTTATGTTAATTATAATGATTTCACGAGTAGATTAACATAAACTTTTTAAGTACATGAGAAAAACAACCAAGCATAGTCCTACCTTAAAGTACTAAGTGAAGCCCTTCTTTTAGTGGAATAAACTAGAATAAACCCATGTACAAGTTCTTCTTTGAAAGCATTGGCCCCATGGTAGGAAGTGACCCGCACCTCCACACTCCGTTTAGAGTCTCCCAAATAGGTTTCTAAGGTAATATTGTAAGGAGATGTCACAAAACAGCATTGGTGACTAAGTAGTGGCCCAAGAACATGTTCAACAGTGTATGGATCCCCACAGAGCATGCACATGATAATCCTAAAGAAAAAAAAGACCAAGTGAGTGTGTGTGTCCACAGGAAAAAATGCTACTCATGAAAATGGCTGAAATTGTTCTTAGTTTATAGTGGTTGCAAGTAATGCATTCAAAATTAATAAAAATGCTAATTATAAATATAATTTTATGCAAGCTATACTGTTTACATCAACTTATTGTACTTTATGTTGTAGTGTTCATCACTGGGAGAAAAAATATATTGCCCATACAAAATATGCAAGTACAATTATTACTTTTCTTTTATATATATATATATAGCAACTTTTCTGTCCCAAAATTTGAAAATGGTTTTAACTGACTGGAACTGTCATATATTTAGAAACAAAATATGGTTCTAAAGTGTTTATGATGATAAAACACAGCCGTATAACATACATGGTTGTTCAATTGTCAAACGGCATTAAATTAGCAAGAAGAGCAGAAACCACCCTTTCTTAACGCTTGAATTATATTTTTCATTATTTCTCAACTTCTTAGGGCATTATGAGGTTTTTTTTAAAGGCATCATATACTCTTCAACAAATAATAGGTATTTTGCTTTTCTTACACCTAGGGTGTAAAAAAATTTATTTGAATATTTATGCTTATAACTGAATAAACCATGAAGGTGGCTGGAGAGTTTGACTGCTAAAGCTAGTACAAATTGAAAGAATGTTTAAAAACATTTTATTTTAATTATTTTATTTTCTAATTGTTCACCCACAAAAAACCAAACCACAAATGTTACTAAAATATGCACAATAATCTCCAATATTTGTTCATTTACAGAAAATTAAGTTGAATATGAAAATAAGCATATTTATATTTACAGTGCAATCATATGAAATTCAGATGTGATTGCAGCTTATACTATCTGATCATTAGCAGAAAATTATTTTCATTTTGTTCTAAAACAGCGGTGATTACAATATTTTTCACAGCTAATTTGTAGCTAAGCTAACTGTGTTCCGGTATTGAATATTATTGTAAAAATTTACATTTTAAATTTACACATGAAATTTCATTACATCCTTTCAGTATTTCAAGAACTCTGAACAAAAACATTATAAATCTCTCATGCATAAAAAACGTTTAGTGCAGTGGCTTTGAAACTTTCTACTTGCTTTATTACAGCATCAGTCAATCAAGGTTTGCCACATACACTACATGGCTTTCTCTACCATCCAAACATCAGGTATCAACTAAAACTGGTCAATTTAATGAATTATTCAATATAATTGATTACTTATGAGCAATAATTATATCAATTAGTGTTATGAAAACTAACAATCAGTTAATCAAAATCTTCATAAAATGTGACAGACTTTTAGCAAACATTACAAGTCTTTTGCACATAAGAAACAAGGTTTTTTAATGTAGTATTTTTACTAAAGTTTTGTCTATGGTCACAAGTAAATAGACACCACCTTTTCAGAAAAAATGAAATTTTTC